CGATTTTCATGCGCATCTCATCAGTAAAGCCGGTTCTGTGATTAGTAGTAAATTTCCAGCACGTGCTTTCAGATGGAGCGGCATTTACTACACAGAGCCATAGTTCACTGACAAGCTACGCAATATCGCATTCATAATCGCAGGCGATTCATTGCCGATAATGAACGCGATATTACGTAGCTTGTCAGTGAACTACGGCTCTGTGTAGTAAGTGTAGTAGTTGCACAGCCCTAGTATGTATGCATGTATATATATATATATATAAAATATTTAATATACGATCATTAAAGTGTTTATTTAAAAATGCATAAATAATTATTACACATTATTAACTAAATGTATTTTAATTAATACATGTAGTAAAATTTTAATTAATGATAAAATTAAAAAATAATATAAAATTGTAATTAATTATTTGTTCTTTCTTTTTAATAAAGTACACATTCAAAAACAAAAATCCTAAAGGATTTGATGACACAACCACGAGCACATTACCTATGACTGCAAATAAAAATCATTTTCTTTAACTGAAAAAAAAAATATATATATAATACAGGAAAGTTTTTAAACTTAAAAAAAAAACTTAACAAAAAAATTAAAATGCTGCCTTGGCAAATAATTTTAATTTAAATAAGTTTAAGCTGAAGTAATAAAATTACTAAAACTAAAACAAAAAAATAATACAAAATAAGACTATTATTATATAATATTACAATATATAATTATATAATAATATTATATGATATTAATATTTAATAATAATAAAATAATAAAAATGACAATAGCACAACTAAAAACTAAAAACTACAACTAAAATTAATATGACCACCAAGAGTTTACCACATCATAAACGATCATGATGAAGGTCATAGGGGTCTAGTCTAGGGGTCACAGAAAGGGTGGGAAATTATCATGAAAAACTAAACTGGTAAAAAAAAAAAATTACTAACATAAGTGGATTTTAGGGAAAAAATAAAATGCTATATGGCCTCTTTAATGGATGTGTCTGTACCTCTGCAGCGGGGACAGCAGGAGCCGGGATCAGTGACCTGATGCATGCAGGTCAGTTTAGGACAGTCTGGACCCACACAGTTCACCTCACCGTTCTGAACACACACACATTTGTAAACAGTGAGCTTTCTATCAGTCAAATCTCAGCAGGATGAAACGACTGGTTTTGTGTGTTGTGTGTCTTACCACACAGGTGCATTTGATGCAGGGCTCATTGGGGAGGGTCAAGCTCTGTCCTTCTAAATACTCCCGACCTTGCTGAAAACACGCTGTGAGGCCGAAGAGATCACATGTCAAAACCAGATCACATACAGACACAATCATCACAGGAACACAAACTCACATCTTTTCCAGAGCCTAGATTACTTTTCTAGAGCTTAGTGAGCTCAGCTGATCTCAATAGAGCTTGAAGTTAGGTATTTTTATATACATTAAACCATGTTACAGTTTGATTACCATATTTATGTATTATGATATTTGCATAGTACTCGAGAAAGAATTCATAATAGTACCAGGTACATGTGCAAAAAAAAAACATGGTATTACCATGCCACTTTTTTTTGTTAATGTATTGTTGCTACCGTAAAATCATAATAAAAAATCTGGGACCCTCCTTTATAACAGTGTAGAAGCATTTTTATTTTATTTTATTTTATTTTGTTAATTGAACTGAATTGTTGATGTGAAAAAAAACATGGTTTTACAATGGCACTTTTTTATTAATGTATCGCTGCTAGCGTAAAATCTTAATAGAGATCCTCCTTCACAACAGAGTAGAAGTTTTATTATATTTTAAACATGGCATTACAATGGCAACTTTTTGTTAATGTATTGTTGCTAGTGTAAAATCCTAATAGGGATCCTCCTTCACAACAATGTTTAAGATTTTTATGTCAAGTTTACATTTTTATTTTATTTTGACAGTGGAAAGAACATGATATTACAATGGCACTTTTTATTATTGTTGCTAGTGTAAAATCATAATAAATTTTGTATTTTTAATGTCTTAAATTCTATTTTTAATTGAAATAGAATTTATAGATTATTATATTTTATAGATACAGATTCTTTTATATTGATTTGATTCCTTAAGTTGCAGCCTAAGTAAAACATGGTAGAACATGTTGTCTGCTGTTTGCTACAGACACACACACTGACCTCTGCACTGTGGGCAGCACTGTCCCGGCGGGATGATGGGGTTATGGCAGGAAACCGGGGGACAATTGACCGGGCTGCACATAACAGAGCCGCTCTGACACACGCAGCGCTTGCAGGGGTCTGAGGGGGCGTAGAACGTCTGCGTGTTTCCGTACCTCTGCCCTTCAAACAGACAGCCGTCACACACGGGACAGCAGTCCCTCATGCTCACTGGATGAGCGCACTGTTGAGGACACCGCTTCCTCTCGCAATACACACGGCTGTTCTGAAAGACACATACAATGGCACTTTTTTCTTAATGCCTTCTTGCTACTAGCATAAAATCATAAAATAATATGGGATCAAAACAGTGTGCTTTTATTTTATTATTCTATTGTTGAAAGTGGTTAAGTTAGAGTTTTGTTTTGACTTACAAATGCTGTACTATGGTGCAGTAATGTTATCTATTGGTAATACTGTACTATTATATTTTGATATACAGTATACCATGTTACTGTTTGATTACCATATTGATGTAAAATTATATTTACAAGAACACAATAGAACATAGTACATGGCTAAAAAAACATGGTATTACAACATGGTATTTTTATTTTATATTTTATTGTAATTTATTTCATTTTATATTTTCTTTTCTTTCTTTTTTTTTGTTGACCGTGGGAAACATTTTTTATATATTTTTATAAAACAATTTCATATTTTGTTGTATTTTATTTTATGTTATGTTATATTTCATTTGATTTTGTTTCTTATTGTTGACATTGGGGGGAAAAACATGGTATTACAATGGCACTTTGTTAATGCATTGTTGCTACTATCATAAAATCAGAAAATAATCTGACAGCCTCCTTCACAGTGTACATGTGGTTTAAATAAGAGTCATGTTAAAAATACCACAGTTACTCCTCTGATTGTTACTAGTTATAGTGACAATCTGAGAAGTAACTAGGATATTTTGTTGGTAACTGTAGTTACTATGGTAAATTTACACATATATATAGGTGGTCTTACCTGGCATGTGTAGGTAGAGCAGCAGTCATTGGGTAGGTTGAACATATAGGGTGGGTGGGTTTTAATTTCAATAAAATGTAAATAAATTAATTAATTATGATTCTGTATGAGTGTGTACTTACAGAACATCTGCACTCCTCACATGGTGCTGTGGGTGACTGGAATGACTCACCACTGGCATAAACCCTTCCCTCATACTGACAGCCTGGGCAATAAACACATACACACACGCACACAATCTTATCAATGTGCAGGTCACGCTTTAGTTTATATCAAAGCCATGAACCCCAATTTGCAACTTGTTGGTCAGTTGCAGGCAGTGGTGGACGAAGTACACAAATCAAGTACTTGAGTAAAAGTACAGATCCGTATAATAAAACATTACTCCAGTAAAAGTAAAAGTACTCTGTTTTCAATTTTACTCGGGTGAAAGTACAAAAGTACTTGATTTTTTATGTACTTAAGTAAAAAGTACCGATAGATTAATGTTTATTTTGCAGTTTTATCTAGGCTACTTTTATCATTTAATTTTATATTAGCATATATTTTTTATAATCCTACTACTGCTCAAAATACCTGGGATTTTCCCAAAATAACCAATAAGGAAATAATGAATATAATAAGGAAAATATATTTAGATTTTCATAATGATTTTTTTTCTTCTCAAACCTCATTTGCATCACTTCCCACTTTGATAATTACTGTCGTTACCATGTTCTGAACATCACATCCTTTCTTTTTCCCTCAGATGTAATCTATCTAGGTGGTTGAATTAAATATTTGGACTTTATTTTTAAAACTTACCTCAATTTAGCACCAGCAAGCTCGTTAGCTAGACAGTTAGCATCAGCTAACATTATTGACTTATTTTCAGCATGGTTATGAATAAACATTTATATTTGTCTACTCGGCTAGTTGATCCAGATACATTCAAATTTTCATGTTGCGATTAATTGCTAATGCTTTTATCACGGTATGCGGTA